ATATGATCACCGTGTACCAGCTGCTACACGGAGGCATGGCGCTGACACCAGAGGAGTTTCTGACACGGAACGAGTCTGACCGGACAAGAGGACACCGCTGGAAACTGGACAAACCACAAGCTAGAAAACTCGTGCGCAGAAACTCCTTTAGTACTAGAATAGTCAACGACTGGAACGCACTCCCAGACTCCGTGGTGTCAGCGACGTCGGTAAACCAATTCAAGGCGCGACTGGACAAACACTGGAAGAACAAGATGTATGACATCCCCTTCCCCTAAGAGTCCAGTACCTATGTACATCCTCTTGCGTGTGAATAAGCCGCGCCACTTGGAGTAGCTTTTTGTACATCAATTTTGGACAATGTGTGAAATTTTTGACCCCAGGTCATGTCAGGTCAGGTCACCAGGTCAAGTTAACTGACCAAGCCTAAAAAAGTTTGCAATCATGTCCAGCCTGCAGTGTTTGTCAGAAAGGTTTTAAACTTGGTGGATTGCATGATGTTATGGACGCCTACAATTTGTATATCTCGGTTTTTTATATCCGTCACCTAAGGTCAGGTCAGTGGCGCGTGACCTCCTACCCTTATACCTAAGTCAATGGAGAAAAATGAAAATGCCTCTAGATCCGTGTGTACGCATAGGAACAGTCCAAATATTTCAGAATCACAATGATTTGGACCACCCGTGACGACCAAGGTGTCTTTTTTGCTGATAGCCTCTAGAAAGGTCATCCGAGGTCATTTGAGGCTACAAACAGATTTTTGCCAATAACTCTCGATTGGAAAGAGATAGGACGCTGGGGACGGCCTCATTGTGTTTGTCTTGTTAAGACGCATCGAATGATATCAACATGACCTTTTCCGGTCAGGTCATGACCTTGACCTGAGGTCAAATTTACAAGTTGACCTTTCAAGGTCAAATTATAGTTCATTCGACGCGTCTCGGCGAGAGGAACACGATTCTGGCAATAGAAATGTTGTGGCTTTTTTTAGGCAAAAGTTATTGTCGAAAAACACATTTCGTAAAAACAGCTATTTTTGGAGTTTTTGCCCTCTGGAGGCTAAACCGTTGACCTGAGATCAATTTTGATGACGACCTTATCAAAAGAAGAGTTCAACAGCTATCGATTGCTTTTCCATGCGTTTTTCTAGATATCATAGTTCCTGTGATAAATGCATGTTTTCTGAGAAATATAATGACATTTGGCAAATTTTGACCTTTGATGACCTCCAGTGACCCTAGGCCTAATATCGCTCTAAGATGAAAAATGACTGAAATACTTTCAAACGTACCCATTGAGAGCTATCGACTGCTTTTTACCGCGTCTTTCTAGCCCTCTTAGCTTTTGAGTTAGAGGTGGGTGGTAACATATGCCCCCCCCCCCCCCCACTAGGGCGAAGTTGGCAGTGGCTGAGACCGCCACTGGGGCGCGGGTTAGCCCGAACACCTTGAAGGTAAGGTAAGGTAAGGTAAGGTAAGGTAAGGTAAGGTAAGGTAAGGTAAGGTAAGGTAAGGAGTATAAATGCGTGAAGAATCATTGACCTCTTCCTCGAAGTTTGAACAAGTGACTAAAATCAAAGCCAAAAGTTATATTTAAAGGGCCCCTCCGGCCTCCCACCTTCAAAAAAGTTTATGAATTGGCATGAAAGTGATGTCGCTCGGTTCAGAAACAGCGAAAACGTATATCTACCAAATTTCATCCAAAAATATTTACCGGTTTTCAAGACTTTAACTTTTGCTTACTTTTTGGGGTCTCCGCTGTTCCGCGACTTTATTTGAAAGTGCGGCACTTGTTGCGCGCAAGGCAGCATATACCACCACGTGCTACCAAACGTTTTAGTAAAACTTAAGATTTAAAATCGTTAGATCTGCGCTGACGTCACACATTCAGAGGGGGATCTTCAACACTTAAAAGCTTAAAGGTAGTGTGCCACCTTTAAAAGATTTCCCATTTTATTTTTCCTAGGATTAGAAGCTTCTGTTTTTACCTAATATCGCAAAAAAAAATGAAAAATGGGCCTGGAATAGTGCTTTTTTCGCCTAAAAGTTTATCGGTTTTTCGATATGTATAACAACTGTAGTGGGCTGACCTGCAAACAGGCGTCGGCAACAATCGCGAATGCGGCGCACATGTGACAATAAGCAAAGGTCATTATAGAGTTACGACGTACGGAAATGAGTTATCAGCTGTCTAATCGTAGACAACACAATGTCGAACTTAAACTGTAAGTCTGTATTGGTATTGTTTCTTTAATTTGGCTGTCGAACATTAATTTATCCCTCGCATGTGTGCGGCGTTTGCCAGCTTCTAATGTGTAGGGGGGGGGGGGGGGTCGGTTGGACCCTCCCCCTTGCCGTTTGGCCCCTGATCGAGCTAGAGCTTCGCGGAAAAAACGAGCGTGTTGCCCGTGACGAGAGGAAGCCGATGATACCCAATTTTAAGGTCCTAGGTCATTGGTTGACCTTCCAGGTCAGGTCAATGACCCAAAGTCGGGAAAATCGGGACCTGTTAGAAAGTCGTAAAGTGTGGATGCTAAAGGGTTTTTCGGGGTGCTGATCACGAATATCGTGTTAGTTTTGATCACAGATGATGTCTTGAAGCATTTAGACCAGGTCGGGTCAGGTCAGGTCAGGTCAACCAGTAGGCGTCGTGACGGGTATTCGTAGTACGTGTCAACCGCCTCTGACAGCTTCGTAACATGTTACGAAGTCACCAAAACTACTTCGTAAATGTTCAAATGGTTGCTAAATTCGAATTCAGCTCCAAAAACTAGCCTAGAAACATGTAAAACTCGAAAAAGTGACCCGAGGTCACCCGAGGTCACCAAAGGTCAATGACCTGACCTGACCTTCAGGTGACCTTGACACACACGGGAGTAACATCAAATCACATGTTTGAACGTTTGAAACCACGAAAAGCTTGCAAACACGCGGCTAGTGCGAGCCGACATACGCGAAATCGCGATTCCGGCCAAACATGGTCTCGGAAAAGAGGTCACAGGTCAAAGGTCATTTGGGTCAGGGTCATGAAATTTTCAGGGTAGGTGTAAAATTGATCAATGCGAGGGTACTGAAAGTTTCGTCGCGATCGGCCGCTTTTTACGCGAGTTATTCGCGAAAAACCATGGGGGGGTCCATCCGACCCCCCCCCTACACATGCAAGGGTTATGGTTTGAAATATTATTTTATGTAAAATAATTGATATGAAACAGCCGTCTCTAAAGTTATGACCCCATCTCACCACATGAAAGTGGCAGAAATGACAATGATCAGCTGACGCATTTTTCTTGGCCGAAGTCAGAGCGCGCGGCCCGACGCACCACCACCGCACCACAAAGTATGAGCAGAAGCCAGAAGCCGCGCCCAAAGCCAGGGCCCCGGTAACGTGAGGTAGCCGAGTCGGGGCAGCGTGCGCTGACCCAAGCCGGGGCCGCAGCTTTGGGCGCGGTCTACCGCATCCCCGCGGGCAGCCCCGGGCTATCACATGACACCGGGAGGACGCGCGGCCCCGGCTTGGGTCAGCGCACGCTGCCGCGACTCGGCTACCTCACGTTACCGGGGCCCTGGCTTTGGGCGCGGTCTACCGCACCACCTAACAGGCGTGTTCGAAACCGCAGGAGATGATGATGAACGGGTTTATCGAAACTTGATTGGATGAGCCTATCGGTAATAGCGATTTCAGTGTGTGCATTTATTGTTCATAGTGGTGTGAAATGTGGTTGGGGTACGACCGACAACCCGTCGGGGCGAATTTCGCACTGGGGTACTCAAAATTTGAAGAATTTAAGACGTTTCCATGAGTTTTGAAGGTATGGATAAGTTCTAAAAATCCGGTTCTCCTTAGCTGGGCCATTAACTCCATACGGTCCAGGAAAGCTGGCACACTACCTTTAAGACGACGAAGATATAGCCTGAAGTACCTACGCTAAATTTTATAGGTGCAAAACCTACCGCTAAAACCCGCGAGACCTGTACTTGGTCTACATGTCAAACTGACAAATTTTCGTGTGAAATAACTCCCGATCAACGTCATACAGTTCACATATCGATTAACATGTAGCCTAAAACAAACTCCGCACAAGTTTCTCTCGCAAACAGCTAAACGTCGTACCAATGCAGTAAAAAAGCGCTGCTGAAGAGAGGCGCTTTTTCTGATGCGTTATTTTTCACGAACAACGCAAAGCCTTACGTCACCAGAGGCGTCTTTGTCTCTTTATGATACGGAAACGCGTCCTTTTGAGTGGGGGTAGCGTCAATCTGGCTTCGTTCTTTGAACGGGTTCCGCCTTCAGTCTTCGTCCTTTTGTGATAACCAAAGTCCGTCTTATCTCAGAAATGACTGAGCGTCCCTCCGTTCTTTTCTTTATAATAATGGCCAAGAGCCCAAATAGTTAACAAGGCAAACGTTGATAATTTTTACTTTGAATTGACCTGTGATGTCATCGGTGACCTCGAGGCAGATAAAATTAGGTTTCGCTCGACAGTTTGTCCATGGGCTATTAGACACTGTTTGAATTCTGACAATCGGCCCAGTAGTTTCGGAGTTAGAAGGGGGCTATAAATAGCCCCCCAGCGTGATGCGTTACAGAACATAAAATGAACAAGTAAAATGAGTCGGTCATCTTCTCGCTTTAATCGCCTATAAAATGAGGCAGCAACGACTTTAGAAAAGCAGGATTTCACAACAACCTTGATCCCCCTCAACCTAAAATGTCTGTCGACGCCTATGAATTTGACTCAGACAGGTCAGACTCTAACTACAACTGACTGTCGACCCCCCCTCCCCAGAGACTGACTCAGACAGGTCAGTAACTACAACTGACTGTCGACCCCCCACCCCTCCCAGAGACTGACTCAGACAGGTCAGACTCTAACCACAACTGACTGTCGACCTCCCAGAGACTGACTCAGACAGGTCAGCCTCTAACTACAACTGACTGTCCCCCCCCCCCCCCCAGAGACTGGCTCCGCAGCCCCGATTGGTACGCTAAACAGATGTAGATGCATGGTGTTTGCAATATATTGACACAGCACACACTTGCATTGCAACCCGAACATCATTCAGATACCTGACGATTTGGCAGGTGGGGCGACGACATCATAACACATGATACATACACATGATATCTAAAACCAGGGGCAATTAATATACACCAAAAATTATCATATTCACTGCACTACCAACGGCTACTTCATGTTATCAGCAAAACCGTCGTGAGTCTCCTCGCTGCAAACGAACGTATGCCCCATCTCGAAAACCAGCCGCACACCCCTCAGGTCAAACAGCCCGAACTCACTCCACAAGATATGTCACGCTAGCGGCCACCGATTGGCGAACGTTTGCGCCCGCCGTGTAACCCGGCGACTTATCCACACTGAGCCGCTGGGAGCCGCACACTGCGGCCACAGCGGTCACTGCGTCACTGCGGTCACTGCGCCACTGCCGTCACTGCGCCACAGCGATCACTGCGCCACTGCCGTCACTGCGCCACTCTCGCTACAAGGTAAGCTCGTCGGAACAGATCCCCCGTCAGCACTGCAAGGGCGGCCGGCCGGGGTCTCAGCACGAGCCGCAGCGGCGCACAGTGGCGGACACTCGCCCACAGCCACGACAGACAGACACGACCCAGAGCGGCGCACAGTGGCGGACACTCGCCCACAGCCACGACAGGCAGACACGACTCAGAGCGGCGCACAGTGGCGGCCACGGTCCCTCCCGGCGGCGCCGCCCACCGCTCACTCACAGACACGACACGACAGACAGACAGACGATGTTTTTTGTTCTTGGTTAACAAAATATGCTGAACTGAACTGAACTGAACTGAACAGACACGGGCAGCAGCGGCGTGCAACACATTCGCTGCCGTGGCCGCGGCACAGAGGAATATTGGGCGGTGTGGAAAGTGCTGCGCCTCCTCGGTCCCCCCACACCCGGCACCGGGACAGGTGGCCACAAGGATAGCGGATAGAGGCTCATGCAGTGCCGTATAGTCCTGTGGTGGAGTCGCCCAGCCCACGGGGTCAGGTGAAGCGTGTGTGGGCGTGTGAACCGTTTCGTCCAGCGCTGCCGTCCCTGTGGGAGCGGGCACCGTCCCTGTGGGAGCGGGCACCGTCCTGGGAGCGGGTACTGTCCCTGTGGGAGCGGGCACCGTCCTGGGAGCGGGTACCGTCCTCCTGGGAGCGGGCACCGTCCTGGGAGCGGGTACCGTCCCTTTGGGAGCGGGTACCGTCCCTTTGGGAGCGGGTACCGTCCTGGGAGCGGGTACCGTCCCTGTGGGAGCGGGCACCGTCCCTCAGGGAGCGGGAAGGAAACGGTGTCGAGTGTCGGGGTGCCGGCAGCGGGGCAGTCTTCTCTCACCTTCCCAGTCTGACTCTTCAATAACCAGACGAAGCCTCGTGTGCATATGGGGAACAGTGTTTCAGAGTGTCTGGCACAGGCTGTCCTTTTCCCTTCCCGTGCTTGATCGATGTGAGCATTTCCCTGTAGCCGTGTCATGTATGTGTGCGTGCGTATTCGAGTCTAACATTCTGGTCGAAATCCTTGACATTGTTTTGCCCTGACAGCCCCGCCGGATGCGGATGGGCATCTGCGGCGCCCTCAGCGGTCCCAGGTCAGGCGCTGCAGTGGATGTGCCCGGTCGGGCGCCGCACCGCTCACCCGTGCGGGGCAGTGGTGCAGCTGCTGGGGCGGCACTGGAGTCACACTTCCCTCGGGACCCGGAAGAGGCACGTGTACAATGGACATTGCCCTCTACCTTTGTCGGTTAAGCATCCGATGATATTTAAACGATATATAAGAAATGTAACAGAACAAATGATACAGGACAAGTGTGATGTAACATGTGCACCCATGCCATATAGCGTGAAATGTGCCTTCGCAGTACACCCAGGCTATGGGGCAGCGACAGCGAGTCACCAAAGAGGAGCCGGTGCTCGGCCTTTCCTGGGTCTGTGGCCAGTCTGAGGGCATCTTGGAAGTATTCGTGGTGGCAGTTGCGACCCAGTAAAAGTCAGAAAACACATCAAAGCATAGCCAATAAACAATAACTGACACTTCCAAACCCACAATGGAAATATAGAGATTGCTGTCAGAAATCGCTAGCGCGCCTCTGACGTGATATTTCTCAGCAGTGTGCAGATACAAACTAGTGCAGCAGATACAAACATCGGAGCCTACAAATTGTGCGAAATCACCACCCAGAAGCAACAGACAGGTGTGACCAGCTGCGCTGGAAGCCGCTTGAGGAGCGGAAGGCTTTTTTGTTTCAAAGGCGGCTCTGTTTTGGCTGCCTGCTGCCTGGACTTCTCGCCAGTGCATGCACGTCCCGTCCGCTATGTGACATTTTTGGGGGCAGACACGCAACTCTGTTGCACGTGAACGCAGTTCAGCAGAACCCTTCCAGCCCAGAGGTTGAGCCGGTCACTCCAAAGGTGGTCAGTGCTGGAGTTGGATTGAAGGGTATCAGAGGTCAATGTCCGTGGATGCCGGTGGTGGCTGTAAGGCTGGTGGATAAGACTGGGAAGGAGCTCTAGACTAACGCTTTTCTAGACCAGGGCAGCTCAGGGTGTTTTGTCACTGCTCGCCTAGCGAGTCAGCTCAGTTTGGAGAGGGAGGAGGCCACCATCACTATCGCGGAAGGCTTCAGTTGTTAACGGTGGTTCCCCTCAGCGCGAGGGAGAGGAGCGGGCGCTCTCATTCGAGTGCCTGTGATGTGCATTGTGCATGTGTCACTCGATTGCGTTGAGTAATACATCGGTACCTAAATGCTATGGTATGCTACCTAGTGTACAACTGTACGGTGCACCCCGTTTTCGAATGCCTGGCTCCGCCCCTGAAGCTACCCTCCGAGAACATTTCCTGGCACTGCCTCTGTTTACTACGGCCAGATGTGGCCCATGCCAGGGCCCGACCATATTTCAATGGGCTCAAGTCCGGCAGGCTCCAGCGCGGATCGGCCATGCTCTGGCACTGGTTCGGCTTACTCTGGGTGAACTACGGCCGGGGTCCGGCCTCGCTCCGGCCAACTTTGGCATGGTCTGGCTAGCACCGGCAGTGCACCGGCGCTCTATGGCTTTAGTCCGGCTCTCGTGCGGCACGGCTCGTACGGCTGAAGTACGGCGGTGCTCCGGGTGAGCACTGGTATCTTGTGTCAGCACCAGTAGAGCTCCAGACCTTCCCCGCACTTCCGCCACAGCAAGAGTGCCGGGGCTAGCCAAAAGGAAACCAGATCTGGCCCAGACCAGCAATGCTGGCTGGGTATCCAAGGTTGTGGTCAACAAACATGGGACAGTTTGCAACAGCAACTCTGACTGTGCTGCAGGTGCAGGTTCAAAGGCCAAGTGCAAACATGTTGCTGTGCCAGAACGAAAGGCCAGAACGCTGCGTCTCCTGCTAACGGTGTGACGCGGTGGACGTCACGTCAACACCACCGTCACGTCACTGCAATAGTCAGTCACGTCACGTCTTGTCACCGGATCGACAGCCTCTTTTCCTCTTTTCCCTTGAAGAGCTGAGCAGAACTGGGAAACTAAAGCTTCAAAAAACCTGCACAGACTTGATGGTCGAGTATGGATAATTATGTGAAATTTGTTTAAAGGTAAATTGTCAGCTAAAATACAAAATTTGATATTTGGTAGAATCAGCACTCCACTTTACGAAACTGAAATCAGATTTTCGAAATTCGGTCTGAGTCACGAGTAATTTAATGTTGAAATTGGGATTTCACCTACTTTTTGTACTATTTTTACGGTAAAACCCACCAGATTCCTCAACTATTAGGGGAGAGCGGGGCCAGTTGAAACACGGGGTCAGATGAAACATGGCTTTATTTTCAACAGTATGCAACATATGGCGTTGCCGACACCACTGCGCATCCGCGCTCGACCACTTCCTTTGCCAACGGCGTTTGGGCGGCAAACGGACGGTAATTTTGATTTCACACTTGTTTTTGTGTTTTTGAGGGGCGTTTGGGAGAAATCGTTTTTATGAATATTTTGTGATATCTCATATACCTTTGTTTGCTGAAAGAAGAACTCCTGGCTCCGGAATAACACCTTATTTGGCCCTTCATTCAGCATGATGCCGTCCCTCCAGCTCGTTTGACATGTGCTTTACGGCGCGTGCGAGATGGCGGGAGCGAATGGGGTCAATTGAAACGCTTCTCTGAGGGTCAGTTGAAACAGGGCCACAGGCCGTTTCAATGGACCCCGGTGACCTTTGCAATGGTTATTGTTCAGGGGCTGTAAACATTAAAGGAAATAGTCCACCTTTGGAATGAGCTTTTAAACTGAAATAGTAGTTTAATAGAGCTCAATTTTTGACCCCTTTTTCTCCAGCCTTTTGCTTGAAAGCACACTATAGCCTGAGATATTTCTCATTTTCCTCATCCGCCCATTTTACCATAGTCTATGTACTTTATGTCACCTATTATGAGGAACGTTGCACTTTTAGCTTTCCAACGACCTATTGAATGTAGCATTTGGAAAAGTAAACCGGACAAAATATCTCCTTAAGAAAGTGGCCTTAAAGGAAGACTGCCACCTTCAAAAAGTTTTCTCAGATCGGCCTATGATTTATTGCCTAGACAAAACAAAATTTTAGAATTCACCTGACAAAGTATCATCACGTGAATCGCGAAAAAAATTGTCAATTATCATACAATTATCAATCGGTTAATGTCTAGCGACAATGTTTACACATCACTAGACTTCAAGGTCATAAGATTATTACATTCTATTTGAAAAAGTAAGGTATTTTATGATTTACTAATATATGATTTCATAAGAAATTGGCCATGTTTAATTTATTTTGCATTTAAGTTCGTAAAACATTTAAAAATCATGGCTCATTTTGAATGGGTCTGGCCCATGTTAAACCCCATTTCCCACACTTTTTTGGAAAAAATGAACTACTGAATATATAAGTTTAACTTTTATTTTGACACTCCAAAATTCTTCTCTGATCTCGAAACAATCAAAGTTTTGACATATATTTACCAAAAGATAAGAAAATTCATGTTTCAAAGTTATCGATAAACAGTAGAGATGTCGGTTTTCTTGGACTAAAAAAATGGCATCAAACTGAACTTTGGTCTCCGATTTCTCGCAAACGGGTTCGAATTTCGGAAAACCGACTTCAGTCTGGGACATAGGTGGCTCAGCTCTAGTGAAAACCGTTTTGTGTTTGTTGTTTGTTTGTTTATTGGGGCTTTCGGGCGCGTCGACTGCAAAGGTCATTTTGCGCCCATAACGTCGCGCTAGTAAAACAAGTGTTTCAAAAGAAGAAACTTTCTAGATATCAAGACTAGAAAGTAAAAGACTTTATAAAGAAGACAGGGTAAAATAAAACAACGCAAGAGCGTCGTAATAGACAACTGACTAGACAAGGAGACTAGAGAGGATTTGGGTCAGGTCGAGTAAATCGCTTGGAATTTGACTGCACGGATAAAGGAAAAGATGTTGCCAGATAAAACCCAGGGTGACTCGTCACCCAGCAGGTGGCGGACAGTGGTGCCCGGAGCGATGCGGCCGAGGTAGCGCGTCCGGTCTGGTTCTAAAAGTGGACAAGATAAGAGCACGTGAGCGACGGTAAGAGGCGCGGAACAACCGTTGCAGATGGCCTGCTCGTCTCCGCGGAGGAGGTGGCCATGCGTGGCATATGTATGGCCGATTCGGAGCCTGCACAAGATCACCTCGTTGGACCGGTTGTCTTGCAAGCAAGACCTCCATGGCTCCAAAGTCGGCTTCACCTCACGGAGCTTTCCGCCTCCACGTAGGCTCCACTCTGCCTGCCACTCAGAGAGAATGAAAGATCGCACAGCCGAATAAAGGTCACGCGCCGGCAATGGCAGACGTCGAGTGCAGGAGGCTGCGGCCGCGCGCCTCGCGGCCGCATCTGCCAGCTCGTTGCCGTGTATGCCGACGTGGCTGGGAATCCAGCAGAACTGAACAAATTTTCCCGATTGTTCCACTGACTGAAGTCGAGCTAAAATGTCTTGAACGATCGGGTCAACTGGATTAAAACTCCGTAACGCCAAAAGGCTACTTAGGGAGTCCGATAAAATCAAGTAAGAAAGGCCGTCCGACACCTCGATAAAACACAGAGCCTTCTCGATGGCGACTAGCTCAGATGAAAACACCGAGGCAAAAGAAGGTAGAGAGAATGAGCGGGAAAACCGTTTTGTGGAAAAAAGGTGGCAGTCTACCTTTAAAGAGGAAAACATACCATTGTTAAGGATAGGTGCAATTGACCCCATGGGCTGGTTCAATTGACCCTCGCATCGGGGTCATTTGAAACGGGCGTAGAGCTGTTTTGTAAGCATGCATTTGGCAGCAATATATGTTTGAAACATAATTTTACATATCTTAAAATAAAGCCAAAAGAGCATATTTTTTCATGGCATTGTGCATTTTTCGATATGACAACTAGATCTCGCTGTGCATGTCAATATATAAAAAGTGGTTCAACTGGCCCCGCTCCTACAATATTTGAATCGCGTGAAATCGGAGCTTCCCTACGAAACTTCAAATCAAAAGTTAATTTACGATTTTGCCGAATATCAACATAATAATATCATCCTAGGTTATGAAAATTCTGAATGTATTACCAGTTTAAATTGTTTTCAAAAACCATTGGCGTTTCGCATTTTTCATTCTGCAAAAAGAAAGCAGAAATCGATTCGCCGATGCTGTGGCTTTGGAGATTAGCGCCACATTAGCACCATTCACTCAGCGTTGGCGCCGGAATTCCCGGCTTTGGACCCGGCGAATCGATACGCCGCAAAAGTAGGTAAACAATGCCGGGTTGACGAGATTCAACGTTCGGGTATGGTACGAAGGTATTTGGTTGTGTGTTGGCATCAATTTTTGCCTTTTTCTTTAAATGTGGAACGGGCGTGAGGCTTATATTGAAAAAATAACGTTGTAGCTTGCCTTCGGAAATTGCGTGATAGATGTATGAAGTGCGCCATTCAAAGTGACAGTTTCGCCGTCGGCCATCATGAAAATAGTGATGAAGACTTTTCGCACGTACTATTTTAGACTCGCAAGCGCCTCTGATTTATCGAAAGATCGCGTGTGAAGAATCCGGTAAGTCTGAAACCTGCACAGAACGACACAGAAATTCGAATTGTGCAATCTTATAAAAATGAAAAAAGGTGATAGTTTCCCTTTAATGCAAAATTCGGTGAAAGGAAACATCCCACCTTTCATTCCGTGTTTGGAATACTGATCAGTAAAGCATGCTATGAACTTCACAGAAAAGGTAAAACCAGCTTAAGCGATTGCCTATTGGCTATTTTTGCTATAAATCAACATTTCCCGTTAATTTTCATCATTACATCACAGCTCCTCCAGCCAATCAGATTCCTTGTGCTGAGACTCGCACTTCAAAAATTTATCTAGTGACTTTTCACGAACATATTCTTTTGTTTGTACACGTCTATGCTAAATTGATGCTTTCTTCCATAATTCAAATACAGAGCAATTTTGGCTTCTACGTTAAAACTTGTGATATTTCTGAGCCCTAGTTTCCGCTAGATTTTGCTAATAGACACTTTGTAGTTTGCAGTCAATGCACCTAGTGGATGAATGCTGATGTTTACCTTTCTACCACAGCTACTGTAGTATATTAACGTAAAAGCAAGAATGAAATACGTAACGAAAGAGTTCAAATAAGCGCCAAGAAAGAACACATCAGCCTCGACCGGCCGCACCGCACGCACTGTCTGACCCGACCGCCGCGCCGGTCAGCTCGGCGGGGTCACCGCGGTCGTGGCGGCTGCCGATTGGTCCGCGCGCTCGAGTCCGCGCCCGCGCTACTCGGCCGGCGCCGCCCGGCGCACACAGGCACGGCATGATGGAAAGTTCCCAACACAGGATCACGATACCACAGCTACACAGTACACAACTGCTATCTCAGTTTAGTTTGTCGTCATAAAGGTGGGACGTTCCCTGCAAGTGTATCTCGGCTCATTCATGTCGGTGTCATGCTCATTGCTCATGTAAATTGTGTGAATGTCATCTTTTGTTTGGTTTCTTTTTAGGTTGGCAGTATACATCATGTCACAGGAATAGGACCATGATGCTATTACATAAGGAATCTGCAGGGGCTATTTTCAAGATTTTGCAGTGCAATGATCCAATTCATTAATATATCCACTCTCAAGTTATTCCAAATATCTACTAGCAAATCTCGAGTTGTTTCAGATGCAAATGGTGCCCTGCAGCCAGCCTGTCTGATGTAAAAGGCTCAGAAAGGGTGTGTGTGAATGAGTGTTTGGGTAATTTCTCTTAAACTTAAACAAGTGTTTTTCGTTCTGGCCCAATGTTTCTGGCCTTACGCCAACTTCAAATAAGTGGAATATAGATAGTGTTTGGGTACCTATAACCATTGGCTATAACATGTTTGTAGATCCAACTGCGCATTCCCTGTTCTTGCCAACAAATTGTGATCCATGGCTGTAGTTGTAGAGAAAGTGCAATTAGTTACAAAGTTCATTATAACTCCTTCCCTTTATGTCATGTCATATGCTCACAGGTACCCAGTCCCCGGTGAGACGCTTCGTGCGACAACAGCTGCTGTCCCTCGCAGAGGGCAAGAAAGCTGCGCTTAAGAAGACTCTTTTCTTCCTGCCAAGAGACAGCACCGTGTGCCTCACCATGAGCCTCTGGAGCAGCCGGAAACTTGTCGCCTTCTTGGGCATGACGGTGCACTTTGTGACCCCAGAGCCACAGGCCAAACTGGAGTCGCACCTGCTGGCCTTCAAGTAAGCGATGTTATCCTTCTTATTTCACATTTCAACTAATTAAAATAATAAAAATGCATTGATTATGTATCATCCGAGA